CATAGTTGTTCTAGTTCAGCAGATTTTACCTGGGTCAAGGATACAGGGGATGCAGATTCTTCATCTTCTTCCTCCACTTGAGCAATTGCCATATATGACCTGTGGATGGTTACTTCATCGTCATCATCGTCTTCATCATCGAATCCCTTAGGCTTAGTTCCATAACCACCTTGTTTCTTTTCTTTTCTGATTCTAAGTAGTCTGTTTATCTGCTTGCTTAACAGTGCAAGCTCTTCATCTTCCATTTCATCAAGTTCTTCTGGTTCATCGACTAGACTAGTTGCTTTGAATGCCACTCCTCTTTTCCCCTTCTCACTGATTTCCTTCTCATGTCTTGTCTTATTCAATTTCTCTTCGTGCGTAGCTAGTGACCCAATCAATTCATCTATAGCCAATGTCTCCAGATTCTTTGCTTCTTCTATAGCCGTTACTTTTGGAGTCCACTTCTCAGGCAGACACCATAAAATTTTCCTCACTAGATCACCACTTTCATATGATTTACCTAGATTTTCCAGGCTGTTCACAATGTTGGTGGACCTTTCATACATTTGCCTGATTGACTCTCCCTCCTCCATTTTGAACAATTCAAACTGATGCTTTAGTGAATTTATACTAGAAGTTTAAACCTGAGAGGTACCTTCATAAGTGACTTGCAACTTGTCCCAAATTTTTTTGGCTGTCTTGCATCCAGCCACTTTGTGATACTCCTCTGGTCCCAGGGCGCAATACATCAGATTAGCCGCCTTACAGTTTTGCTGGAACTTCTCGAAGTCTTCATCTGACCATTTTTCTTGATCATCCTTAAGTTCATGAGGACCCTTGATCACTCTGGCCCACAACTTGGGATCTGTAGCTCCGACGAACAACTCCATACGGTTTTTCCAATACCCATAACAGACTCAATTTTTTACGTGGTTTCCAGTATTGGGAGAAAAAGGATCCCAATACTAACTATTCCACGGGCCGGAGAATCACGGTTTGTGATTTCCGACGATTTCACTATCAATCATACTTGTTATTCCCTAAGCCTTCCCTGTGTGCCTTGATCTCTCGGAAAAGTTGCTTCTCTTGATTCTGAGCGAGCTATTTGTACTCCATAGTGGCTAGCCGTTGTAACTCAAGTAAGGTAGGTCTTCTCCTTTGAATTCCTTCCTGAAATGCTCGTCTAATCAAACCTTCCGTTTCACGCAAATATGCTTTCCCTGCGCAAATGATTCTTTCCAAATGCAGATTCACCAGAGCCACGATTTCCTTCCCTTGATTTGAGATTAATGACTGGCTTACTTGTCAACAAAGAAGACGAGGGGTGTAAAGAGAGAAAGATAAATAACATATGACGCGGAGGAATCCTTTGGGGGATTGTGGTCTTCACACATTATCCTCCCCTCAAACCTTCCCCATCCTATCGACACAAAGTTTTTTCTTCCTCTGTGGTCAGTGACTACCTATCCACTCACAGGCGGTCGTTGCTCTCCAAGCTTCTATTTCATCATTTTCCCACTTCCCAACGTTACTTCGCAGTGCACGACGTCAAGCAAGGAACAGAGATATTGATTCTTATTCTCCAACTGGGCAAAAGCCCCCTAAACCCATTGAGAGGGCACTCCTCGTGTTCGTTCTCGTCGATGAGTAGAGGGTTGGTGGGTTTGGGGTTTCACAACTGATGGTGGGTTCTGGCAACTGCAATCGATGAAGGTTGGCGGCTTTTGATTAGGTGGGAACTTAATTCTTGTTTCCTCCATTTGCGAATGTGCCGAGTTTCCCAAGGTCACCGGCCTTCAGTTAGTGGGGTCGTCGGCTTTTAGCGAGTTTACCGGTAGCGAGGACAAATTTGATTGGTGGGATTTTCATATTCATCTTTGGTATGTTCGTATGGAGAACAAAGGAGATTAGAGAAGGAGGAAGAAGAAATCCAAGATGTCTGACCAAACAGTTAATGACCCTAAATACCTTATTTAAATTTTTTATATTTTAAATGAGCTTTTTGGGTCAACATTCTCATATTAAAATTCATGATCCAAATGACCTCTTGGAAATTTCTTGCTTGCATGCAACTCAATACTTTCGTTAAAGTTAATAACTAGATGAAATCCAAGTCGACCAACGATCACAAGCACTCACCTAGAACCTAGTTGCTTGACTAGGCTGATAAGCACATTCATGTTGACAACCTTCAGTGTGACTCATTTTCATTGGATTCGTTTAGATATCTTATTCTCCATTTTGTAAAACAAGCGATGTATCTTTATTTTTCAATGAAAATTTTAATTTATTGAACTTTTTTACCTATTAGAAAAGCTTGTCTTCTCACCTTAGCCTACCAATTTGCCACCCACATGATGCAGTTGCAACAACCAGCCCGCTATTTGCGCAAAATATTTCCATCTAGCACCAACTCTCTCCTTTCCTGACAGACGAGTAACACAGATCAGACTAGAGGAAAGAGGGAGAAGTAAATCATAGGAGGTAATGAGAGAAAGAAGCAAAACATATGAGTATCAACGGCGAATCCAGGACACAATAGAGCACTGGGCCGCATTTGAATAAAAAATTAGATATCATACAATGTCAATTGTACATGACGATATTTTAATTTAGCGAATTCATTCATCCATACCAATAACATACTCTATCTCAAAGAAAATACTTAAGCAATCAGCGAGAAATTCATCTGTCATTTTGTTGCGTAAATAAGTTTTCACATGTTCGTTGCAGAAAATGTTCTCTCCGTAGTAGCTGCTGAAACGAGCTAGGTCTACACTAAACGAATCAACTGACTAATCAATTTATATTATGTATCCATCTCCGTTCCCACTAGCTTCTCTATTAATGTGCAAGGGATTCCTGACTATGAACCACATAGTGGCATAATATCTAGATCATTCTTCAAAGAATGCATCTAATAGCCGTCAAAGTTTCGAGGATAAACTCTTGAGCAAGTTTGTAAATATTTTCTTCATCAAAAGACCTGAAAGAATTTATAGTATCTTGTTCACCACTCAACTGAAGCAATTTAAATGATTACTCAACAAGTTTGTAAATATTTTCTTCATCAAAAGATTGAAAAGAAATCAGTGCATGACAAACTAACGGAGGATTCCGTTTCGGGTGCATTCGTCTCCTCGTTCTAATTTTTTATTTTGGGGATTGTGGGAATTTTTTGCGTTGTGACAGAAAAGTGTGAGATTTCGTTTAGTGGTTTTTTTTATATTAATGAAACTTTACAATTTTAGTATTTTATTTGTAAGACTTTAAGCTTTCATCGTTGATTTTATTCTTTTCAAATGAAATCATTGGGCCTAGAATTTTTAGTCTAAATCTAGCATAGTGATTTGGGTATATTCATTAAGACCATTTTGCAAGTTACACATAATCATTATCAAATAATATTGGACCTACTTTTAAATATCACTGGGCCGAACACCTAAAATCAAAAAAATTATACGTACTATACTAGCTGTGGATTGGAGGAGGGCTGGGCCGTAGCCCGAGGTGGCCCAGCCCTAGATCCGCCAGTGATGAGTATATGAAGAGGGTGAAGTAGATCAAAGGAAGGGAAAGATTGAAGATAGAAAGTAGCATATCAGCTATGGATGAAAAGGGAAGAGCAAATCGAAAAGGTGGGAAGAGAGGTACTTTAGAGGAGGGAAAAAGAGAAGAGCATAGAAGGATAAGAAGAAGAAGAGGAGCGTAGGTAATTGTGATGCACGATTTTGCCACAATCTCTCACATTCTCGATTTTGTCACAATCCTGTTTTGTGAAGATTCAAAAAAATCATCATAAATGATTTCGGAAACTCTAAGTGGGATTTTGATATAGCTTATATCCCCAATAGCTATTTTGAAATTCCTCACTTTTTTTTTGTTTTCTTCCCACACTATCCTCACTCAAAATTTGCCCATCTTTTCCACACAACAAGTTTCTTCCTCCTTTGTGGTCGGCGGCTAAATCCACTCACAGGCCGACGTTGCTCTCCAAACTTCTATTTCATCCTTTACCAATTCATTCCCACATGCCGACGTTACTTCTTAGTGGTCGACATCGAGCCAGGAACATCGACCTCGACTCTTCTTCTCCAATTGAGAAAAAGCCCATGCATCCATTTGGAGAGCACTCCTCATGTTTGTTCCCGTCGATGAGTAAAGGGTTGGTGGGTTTTGGGTTTTGAAATCAATGATGGGTTATGGGTTCTGCAATCAATGAGGGTTGGTGGTTTGTGATTTTATGGGAACTTAATTCTCGTTTCCTCCATTTGCGAAGGGGCCAAATTGGCCGAGGTCACCGGCCGCAATCAGTGGGGTCCCCGACTTTTAGCGAGGTTGCCGGTAGCGAGGGAAGATCTGGTCGGCGGGGCTTCTAGATTCATTTTTGGTTTGTTAGTCTTGAGAAAGAAATATATTGGAGAAGGAGGACCAAGATGGGGATAAATGAGTTTTTACACAATTGGGCTCCAAATCTCCGATGTCTAATCAAGCAAGTTAATTTTCCCAAATACTTTAATTAATTTTTTTAAGATTTTAAATGTGATTTTTGGGTCAAAATTTCTCGTATAAAAATTCTTGATCCGAACGAACTCTTGGAGATTTCTTACCTGCAAACAACTCAATACATTCGTTAAAAGTTAATAACTATATCAAATCAAGGTTTACCCGCGATCCAAGCACTTACTAGAACCTAGTTGCTTGACTAGGTTGCTAAGCACACTCATGTTGACAATCTTGAGTGTGACTCATTTTCATTGGATTCGTTAAGGGTTAATTGCAAGGTTGGTCACTCGATTTACTAAAAACGTTCATGTTTGGTCATTGCAAATATTTAATTTCATTCATGGTCACTAAGATTAGTTCAAAATTTCAAGTTTGGTCACTCTCCGTTAGTCTCCGTTAGTTTTTGCTGATGTGGCAGTCAACTATTATAGGTTAACCGTTAAATGAGTGACGTGGCCATTAAAAAAATATTAAAATAATAAAATTTAAATATTTACAATTTCCACCTTATTTTACATTTTAATAAAGATAAAACTTAATAGAAGGCCTCTGCCATCTACGCCACCACGATTCTGATCCAGCCAAACAACCCCTCTCATTCTGTCGGCCTTGTACCAAATCTTGATGTATTCCTTCCTCTGCTCCCAGAGCTTGGCCGACGCCGCGATGCCGAACACCACGTGCTGCAAATCCGTCGGCTGCTTCTTGGGCCTCTCCTCGATCTCCCGCCGCGGGAGAGCGATTCCCGTCGTCGTTGCCCCGTCGTCGGTGGAGTCGTTGCCGCTGAGGGCGACGAGGGAGAGGTGATGTGGCTGGGATGAGCGGTGGCGGGAGAGGGGGTCGTCGTTGCAGGGTTGGGAAGTGGAGACGAGCCTCAATGTGTAGAAAACGTAGGTGACGGTGACGAAGAGGAGAAGCCATACCATGAGCTTGGGGAGAATCCAAGCTGGGGAACCGGGTACGGAGATGGAATTAGCATGAGAAGGGCTCCTCAGCTGATCCCAGATAACCTTCTCCGAATCCTTCTTGTTCCCTTTCATCGTCGTTCCCAAATGAATGCTCCCGCTTCGCCTCAACTTGTAGGGATTTGGGGGATATTTCTCTTCAATTCAATCCACCAAATGGGTTTTCTTACTTTCTTCAACCAGATTCGGGTTTGGGGGATGTGGGGAACAGGGAATGCGATTGGGATTTAGCATCAATGAATCGAATTGATCATTGAGTGGAAAAGGGGGAAGATGGGGAATTAGGCATTGGAGTTACAATGTTGGGATCAATCGTTCAATCCCCCACAACTAGAAGGCAGGGGAAGGAAAATGGAGGGGGGAAATTGAACTGGGAAAATGGGGGATAGAATTTAAGAAGAGGGGAGAGGGAATGGAGGGCTTAGAGGAATTGCAGAGGGGAAGAGGGAAGGAGAAGAGAGAGCATGCAGAGCTGCCAGGTCGCAGACTCTCCCCAAAGTGAAGAATTGGGGGAAAGGAAAACTATTGTGTAGAGGCGACAACCCACAGAAAACTATTTATCGTGAGAGGAGGCCAACTATTAAGTTTTATTTTTATTTTTTAATAATTGTAAAATAAGGTGGAAATTGTAAATATTTAAATTTTATTATTTTAATATTTTTAATGGCCACGTCACTCATTTAACAGTCAACTATAATAGTTGACTGCCACATCAGCATAAACTAACAGAGACTAACGGAGAGTGACCAAACTTGAACTTTTGAACTAATCTTAGTGACCATGAATGAAATTAAATATTTGCAGTGACCAAACATGAACGTTTTTAGTAAATCAAGTGACCAACCTTGCAATTAACCCGATTCGTTAATATATCTTATTCTTTTGTAAAACAAACTATGTTTCTTTATTTTGTAACAGAAAAAAAATATTGAACTTTTTCCCCCTTTCAGATACACCTCAATGCAAAATACTATATATTGACCCGACTTGCAATTTAATGGGGTGGTATTGAAGTATCCACTCAAACTTGACTCTGCTAACAAGTGGCGAAGTCATTACTTCGGACGAGGATTGATTAAAAATAACAAAGTTAAAAGCGTCTCGTGATTTTTTATTTTGGTGAATTAGATTAAAAAACGTAGAGAAAAAAACCCAAGTCAAAGTATAGATGGGTGAGATCACAAGGATTGATCTAAAAAAAGAATGGAAAGAAAAACGAAGAAAGGGTACTTAGCGGACCAGACCGCTTTTGTACCAAACAGAAAAGGGACAGGCAGGTGTCATGACAAAACAGACATTCCTCGCTCACCCATCAAAAGCAACGGAAAAAAAGGACAAAGAGTTTTTGCATCAGCTCAATCAACAAGCCCTGTTAGATGTTGTACAAAGGAAGCATGTTGAGAATCAACAATTCATCATGAGTAAGAAGTCAGGGCAGCAACTTACGACCTACGTAAATTGTCATTACGCCATTGCACACCTTGATTTTTATTAACTTTTCCATGAGCAACAGCCCAATCCACCATTGCCCTGGTTGTTTTGTTAGCGACAACAGGCTCACACCGAATATTGCAGAAAATCCGGTGATTTTCTCAAAGTGTCTCGTGATTGAACCTAATGCATTAGTCTCATGACTTAGACTATACGTAGCTTCATCACTGTCATTGACATTCGCACAATGAAGCCAATCTGTAAGTCACAAGGATCGACTTGGATCATTCCAAATTGTCATTTAGTGTGATGGTGACATGTAGGGCTGTCATTTCAGTTGCCGGTTAGCGGCTAACTGGTCGGTCTAACCGATAACCGTCGGTTAGCGGCTAACCGGAAACCGAAAAAATAGAGGGGGCGGTCAGTTGGCGGAATGGGTCAGTGGGCGCGCGATTAGCCGATAAATCGAAGACTGTTAACCGGCTAACCGACCGAGATGAAACGATGACGTTTTTGCCTACTTTTAAACACACTCATTCCCTCCCCCCCCCCCCACCCCTAGTTGCCGCCTTCTTTCTCCCTCAATCCTCACACTCTGCGTCTGCGAGACTACGACTGCCGAGCCTCCGCCGCCTTGCCTCGAGCGCCTCGCCGCCTCCCCTGCGCCCCGTGGCAAAAAACAGAGGCCACCAACTCCAGCACTGCCATGGCTATGGCGGCCATCAATGGCTTCCACCACCATGACCTGCACCTCGACCTCTCCAGCCACAGCAGCAGCACAACCAGAACCGATGACTTCTCCCACTGGAGCCAGGGCTGGTCCCTTGTCGTCGACTGGGAAGTCTTGTCCGGCCACCACCGCGAAGATTTCCACGACCTTCTAGCCGGAGCCACCGCCGCCGCGGATGCAGAGGAGGAGGGTTTCAACAATTACAGCCCCACCACCACAACCAACTCCGTCGACACCTCGGCGGCGATGGTAATCGATCACGAAGAGCGAGAAGAAGGAGAAGGAGAAGAAGATCAGGTGAAAGAGGAACAAGGCTGTCATTTAGACGATTTTAGGTTTTCCTCCCTTCTTGTCCGGTCGGGTTTTGGTGGTTACCGGTCGGTTAAGCAGCTAAACCGAACCGTCTTTCACATTTTCGGTTGCCCCGGTTAAACCGCACCTAAATCAAAAACCGTCCGGTTGGTTTGCGGCTAACCGGGGCTGATGGGACGGTAGGGGTTGGTCAAGTCTTGGTTTAACCGAAAACCAAGATTTCGGTTTTCGGTTAAACCGAAACCGACCGGCTGCCACCCTAGTGACATGTCATATAGAATCGATTCATTAGGTTATATAAGTGTGAGTCCTACTAAACCGAATCATATAGAGTTATCGATTTCAACAATTCAAATACCCTTCAACATTACAATTTATGAAGTTTAAAAAAAATATCTCCTTAATTGAAATATATATTACTTTGAAAGTCGGGTCACCAAATATGATTTCGCTTTGTGTTGCAACTCACACAGTCACAACTCACAAGTGATTACAAGTCATAATGACTCATTAGTCTTTTTTTTTTGTCAAAAGATATCATGTATTGATAAAAAAATAGAGATTTACACCCTGGAAATCAGCCAGGCCTGGAAGTTGGGTGGGCCCGGAGACGATGGAGCACCTATTCCTGTATTGTCCGGTCGCACGGGTTCTCTGGGATTATTCTGGTCTGGAATATTTGGGGGATTAGTCATTAGTGAAGTCACGTAGGATTCTCAGTTTGCACTCCACTTTGTCCTCGGATATTTCTATGGGCTAGTTTTTCCCATAGAAAGTTCTGTCAGCTCGTTGTAAAAGCCCATCCAAATTTATGAAAACTATGGTCTAATAATAAACCCACAAAAGGCCGAACCATGTGAACTGTGAAATCGAGCTGCTGCGCTGCGCCCATTGGTTCTCAGTTTTCAGTTTTCACCGATGCCCACTAATTCTTTTGTTCGTCTTTTTTCAATTCCGTGGTCCCAACGAGGATCCAACTTCGGCTTCCAGACAGACAGCGGTTAGTTTTTTACTAATTCCGGGTCACCGCCCCTTGTTCTCTTCTCCCATTGATTGAGGTTGACAGCTAATTGATTATTCACTAACCATTTTTTACGTCCGTTAATGACAAAGACGGGAACATTAATTAAAACCGCTATTATGAAAATGTTGCATTATTTTGTTTCGCTTTCTGGAGTCCCCATCAATCAAGAGGCAACCATTGGGCATTAAGCTACAAACAAAACTAGTAATCAATGTCATTAATAACATTGTTTACCTTCAAACATGAGATCCCCTTACTCATCCTAAAAGTCCATTTTAGTTAATTGGCCCCTTGAATTGCCTTCCCTATTGGGATTTTGACAGATGTTGAATGAGTAGCCATCAATACGACGTGATGTTATCCTATCGCAATTTTATTGGCTCATAAGTATCATTGATCTATATCGTTGAATTTTTTCTAGGTTATTTACAAGATTATCCCCCGAGAGGTGTCTAAGAGTGAGATCTGTGCTATTCAAAACTATGAATCATGAACGTCTAAGATTCAAACTCGTGCAATATGACACTACTATCAACCATGAGTGACGACAATAAATCGAAGCATGTGCAATTCGATAGCATCATATGCCATCGACTAAAATTGAAATTATAGTAATTCGATAATATCAATAAAAATTCCCAAATTACCCTTTTGGATTCCATTTTATTAGTTGTCCTCCTACCTTGTCAAAAGGGGAAGTGAACAAGCAATAGAATTTTGTTATGGATACCCAATGCCAATTGGCTACTCTGTTTCTAAACTTTGAGTTTTGCTTCTAGAAGCTCATGACAGAAAGCTTGGGGTGTAGATAAAAACTGCCCTACTTTTCCAACCACTAAATTCCTATTTTGGTCCTCATATTTAACAACAAACATCCAATCAAATCCAAGGAGATTGCACTGAAACTCTGGCTGAGAAAAATGTCGCCGGTTAATTGATAGATCATCAGAAGATCCGAACTCAAGAGAAAGTTACTACATACATGTCGAATTTCAGAATAGAGCTCTAATTTTCTGAATCGAACTAGTTAGTCTAATACTACTTGCTGTACAAAGATCTAAATTGCCCAAAAACGACCCCGCTTCTTTTCCCCCTTTGCAATACAGTCCCCAGATTTTCACCAGCACTGATCAGTCTCCCACCTCCGGCTTGTGTACCCGGGAGAACCCCCCGACGGGGAACCCGAACCCGAACCCGACGCGGCGGACATCACAAATGCGTAGCTCATCGACCGCCCGAGCCGGAACAGGGACCGGTCGTAATCGGCCCGCTTGGCCGGATCCGAAAGCGTCTCGTACGCCTTGTGCAATTCGATGAACTCGCTCGCCGCGCTCTCCTCGCCGGCGACGTCCGGGTGCAGGACTCTGGCCAGCTTTCGGTACGCTGACTTGATCTCCTGACACGATGCGCCCATCTGGATCCCGAGCACCTCGTAGAACGACGAGGGAGCTGCGGTGCTGGCGCCTAGCCGGCGGCTTCCCGCCGTCGACGTGCTGGTCCCCCTCTCGGCAGTGGAGGCGCAGGAGGCAGAGACTCGGAGCGGCTTGAACCCAATTCGAGACGGCTGCGACGAGTGAA